ACACGTAAACCATTCGAAATATCACTTTCGTTTCTTCTCACCGGACACTCGCGAAACTTCGTTGGTCGAGTTCCGCAACTCTAAAACTTAAAATATCACACTCTGTTTGACAATCTGACATTTTGATCACTTGTGGGAGAGTAAGAAAGTCTCGAAGTGGCGCAGACACCGTTCGGGCATGCTGGGAGCAGAGGTGGCCCTCACTCAGGTTAGCCAACGTAACAACAAAGAGCCGCTGCTTTTCAAATTGAAAAGTTAAATATTTAAACTCAAACCGTTATTAACGAAAAGCTCCCACTTGTTTTTCCTTGAATTATAGATGTTTAGTCAAACTCACATTCCGTCTATGGACAAGCCGTTTTCCAGAAAAAGTGGAACGTAAACACAGACAGACAGACAGACTCACGACGGAGACATCGCCTGACCCCTCATTGACTTGGACTGAGCTTCGCTCAGCGATAATTTTCAAGGATTTTTGTCCGATTTTTCCTTAAAATGTTTTGTCATTTTTTTCTCGGAAAAGTTTGAAATTTTTAATTTGGAAGAAATTATTTGGTCTATACCACGGGGCTCTGCCTGCTGCCGCTCTCCGCCGCGGCGCTACCCCGCGCGGGTCGGGGCGCACTAGCCCGGTGTATCGCCACACGCTCCGTCGTGGTGGGCAGAATGCAAAATAGTGACGCGTGACTCGGCGCGTGTATTTTTGCAGACGCAGCCTCTCGAGAACGTCATCAAGATCGGCGAGCCACTCACGATCCTCGTGTACCTGCGCGCGCCCAGCCCGCAGTTCGACGTGCGCGTGCGCGACTGCTGGGCGTACGACCAGGAAGACCTGGACGCCAAGGACACGCACAAGCTGCAGCTCACCGACAGCGAGGGCTGCCCCCGGTAAGACGTCGACATATCACGTGTGATAAAAAACAGTCACGCTGCAGGGGAGTGGTAAACGGGAAGTTTCCCTTGTAAACGTCCGTCAAACCTACAATCTTGTTAATGTTTAATTTTTTCTGATTACTTTGTTTCCTGGCCAGCTATGTACAGTTTTGTTGAACGATATTCCATTTTTATTACCTTTAGAAAGAGGAAGCTAATAGATGACTGGCAAAAGACGACGCAGACGGGAGACTCGGACGCCAACCTGCTGGCGTACAACACGCTCAAAGCCTTCAAGTTCCCGGACAAGGTGCAGGTGTTCCTGACCTGCAACATTGAGGTGCGCAATACTACTTTGTGACTGCACGGGATTGAGGTTCGTCTCGGACGGTTTGGTGAGAGCTTAGAGAGTGACATGAGCCTTCCCTTACAGGTCTGCAATGGACCGTGCGCGGGTCGGTGCGGTGGCGCGTCGACGGGACCCCCGCCTCTACCAGGGCCACGGGGTCCAGACGCATCCACCAGGCGGCCGCCAGCGCCCACCCCAGAGCCGCTGAACTGCTACCCCGGCAGCCCGGACCCGAGGTGTCCACAGCCCATCCCGACGACAAGAAGGCCACCGCCGCCCACCCCGGAGCCGCT